AGCATTTGGAGCACTGTATAAGCAGAGCAAATGGTGTGGTTATTCTACAATGTGAAATAGTATGGAACTTTGCAGGACAGCCTGCCTTTGTACAATGATTAGGAAAGGAAAATGACTGGCTAAAAAAATGTTCTTACCTTTCACAGAACCCATGGTAAAGAAGAAGCCCTGCTCTGTTTCACAATGGACCATCATTGTGGCATTATGTGGTGAGAGCCCGTTGTGCAATGGAATGTGTTGAATGGTGGCCTGTCACAATTCTCTAACATGATTGTTCATCACATTAGTGATGTAAAAGTTAAACATCTCAACCTGTGATGCAGGATTTTGGCTCAGCTTTTAGAACATTCCTCTTACTTTCTCATGCCATTGAAAGATCCAATAACTGGGATCTCTCTCCCTCCTTCTTGCTGTTGAAAGACCTGGGATACATTCATATAACTAATAGACTACAGTTGAAAAATAATTCTTGATTCTTCCTATCTTCTCTCTTGATTCTTCCCATTGAAACCCTCAAATCCCCTTGCAACCATAGAGGAGAGAGAAAAAAATTCTTCTTTGTCCTTGCCACCCTTCTCCATCCCCTTGTTCCATTTTCATCTTTCCAACTGTGGTGAATATAATGTCCAGCTGGCCAATCAGGAGGTAGCTAAGAGCCAGTCAATGGGATTCCAGCTGGGAGCATTTCAAAAGCCCAGGCTGATAGTTGGTGGACAGTTAGAGTTGAGAGGAGGGTCTGTTGAGAAATAGTGCACATTGAGTCCACTTTAACTGCCCTGGCTCAGTGGTAGAGAATCATGGGAACTGTATTTTTTTCTGAGACATTGAGCTTTCTCTTTCAGAGAGCTCTGGTGACACAATAAACTACAGTTCCCATGATTCCCTAGCACTGAGTCAGGGCAGTTAAAGTGGACTCAGTTTGCACTATTTCTGGCAGTCTAAAGGCCCATAGTTAAGCCAGAGAGAGAGGGCTATGTTTTAGGGTGTTCCTGAGGGAACTGTATTTTGGGGAGTTAGAGTCTAGAAAGGAGAGACTCTGAACACTTACAGAACTCTAAAGAAGAGAGTAGCTGTGGTGTTCTCTTCAGATAGATATTGCTAGCCAATGTGGCTGAGGTACTGTGAGTGAATTAGGAACAAACATTATAATTTTGTAATGAAGAAAGACTATAGTAGCAAGTTCTGATGCAAGTTACATTTATTACATGCTGTTTTAAAATAAACTTTTCTTCTTGTTCCAACATCGCTTGGCCAACGTTTTAATCACAAACCATGCTACTAATATTTTGAAGTTTTGGAGGTGGGACATCATACAAAAGACAGTGTGGGTCTCTTACACTTAATTAGGTGGCAAGGATGGAGGAAACAAGTTCCCACAGGACTGCCAGCTAGAATTAAAGTGGAAAAGGAGAAAGGTGACAGTAGTGTGCACCACACCAATGGCCTTGGTTGGGTGTTTTGATCTGTTCTGAGTATTTCTAACTTTCCCCAAACTATTATTTTCCTTCTGCCCTTAATCTATATGTCCATGGGAAGCTGCTTCACACTACTTCAAAATGTTAGTCTGGCAGTGGCTTTACAGATCTTCCAGAAAGAAATCTTTTCCAGCACTACCTGGAAATGTCAGCCTGGGGCCTTGTGCATGCGAATTATGATATCTACTACTCAGCTACAGGTCTTCTGCTGTCCTGTCTCAGGGAAGAGGAATATGCTTGGATGGTATTCAGAAATATTTTCTTCCAGTTTGGTGACTTTATTTCTATTTTTTACTCATATGGCAAATAGAACAAATATGTGAGAAGTGACTTAGAATGCATCTACACTGTAGAAATAATGCAGTTTGACATAGCGTTAAGTGCTGTAGCTCCAGCCTATGGAATTTGTAATTTTATATGGTCTTTAGCCTTCTCTGCCAAAGAGTGCTGGTGTCCCACAAAACTACAAAGCCCATGATTCTGTAGGATGAAGCCATGGCAGTTAAAGTGGTGTCAAATTGCATCATTTATACAGTGCAGATGAATCCTGAGTGTCATTGCAGAATAAAATCTTTGAAAGTATTGCTATTTTTCTTCTTGCTCACTCCAACAAGCATTCTTTTCTTCCTGATACACATGGCCTGCTGATCCCACAAAAACAACAAGTCTTTTTTAGTCATTTATTTAGAAATATGGTGAGAGGATTAACAGCCTAGTAAAATGCCTAGGAACCCTGTGGCTTAGCTTACACCAGTACTTTTTAATTTGTACATTAGTCATCTCTGACAAGAGAAAAATGTGAAAAACACTCCAAATATCTCCTTCAAAACCAACAGGCTGCTTAACCAATACAGGCCCCACTTATGGAGAACATGTCACTGTATCAGTGAATCAACATTACTTTTTCAGTAGTATTTTTACTGGAGATTTGGCTTCTGGAGACAAATGTTTTAGGGAAAAAGAAAGGTAACTTCTATGGGTAGAAAAGATGTAAAATTGTCAAAGGGGAAAAAACAAGAACACAGCTTTCCCACATTCATTCCTTACATCCCATATTCTTTTTATGCATACATATATAGGGCCTTCAATTTACAAATCAGCTTAACCCTTTTTAAAGTTTAGCTCACCTTGATGGCATGTCCTAAAGTGTAAATTAGTGTCATTACAATGGCTTTGAAACCATCAGGAGTGAAATGGCACAAAAATAAATCCTACTCATCTTTGTCAGGGATATCGTTTAATTTTCATTAGCTATGACAGCCTACTTTGCCTCTAGAAAAAGGTTTTTAGATGTTGGATCCTATTGGCAAATTACATCACATTCAGATGAAAAATGCCTGTCACATCACATTTATGTAGCATTAAATCTGACAAGATGTAGTTTCCACCTAAAGAAACATTAGTTTATTTCCTCTTTAACTTTGACAAACATCATCATTCTACCATTACATTTCCATAGCCCTGAAAGCTGATAATATTTCACATTGTGAGAAGATGTCCAGCAATGGACAAATCTCTTAGAATAGATCAACCAACATTTCCCTATTTTCTGACATTTTGATGGATTATGTTTAAAAGGCTATACCATAGATTTTCTAATACAAAAATTTAAAAATGCTAACTGGCCAGTCAATAAAACACACACTCATTGTCAGAGTAATAATTGCTTTGGCTCCTGTTGGTTTCAGCTGCTTAGTAGCATCTTGAACACAGATTGATGTTGGAAATGCACGTTTCCTCTACTTGACCCAAATGTGGTCAAGTTAGATAAGTTAGAGAAGATCTGAAGACAATCTGGATCAGTGCCAGTATCCACATGGCTGCATTCTCTTTTCTAATATCTTGGCTGTGCAATGAAGCCAAAGTACCCACTTATGGTTAAAATTCAGAGATACCTGACTCCTAAAAAGAAAACAGATAGTATTAGCCTTCTAAGTCACCTTTAAGATGATGGAAAGAAATTTTTTGAGACTTGCACCTGTGGCACACACTACTGCTACCGTTCTCCCTTCCT